CAACTTATATTCATAGTGTCTTTCTGCCTTCAGTTTGCCTCTAAAATGTCTTCATTTATCAGCAGAGTCAGCACAAAGCTGAGTTAATCCCCAGAGGAAGTGCTCTCACATGTGAGTGTTGTTTTTCCGCCCTCTGGACAAGCAGGTTGTGTTTGGTGTGTGTGCGGTGGTGACGGACACGGTGTTCTTCCTCCCCCTGCTCTGCTGCAGGTGACGAGCGCAGCAGTACAACCTGTACGAGCTTCAAAGAAGCCTTTCTTCTCTAGAAAGCGAGAGCCTGACCTGCAACAGCCAGTGACCTGTGTGTGCGGTGTGTCGACCTCTGTCACAGTGTAACCCTGTGTCAGTGTATTTCACTGTCTTGTCTTAAATGAATGAAGAGCACATATCAGCATCTTAAAGCACTCATTTGATCTGTTAGTAATGAATTTAGAAAGTTTTTAAATTGTTACTCTCAGTCACTTTTCAGTACCCAGTTTTAACGTTTTCTCATATTCTTACTCCTCAGCTTTCTGGTTGATTTCCCATAAAAGTTGCTGTGGCAATCTGCCTAGCTGGGAATATGTAACATTACTCTAAGTGTGAATGAAAGGTACAACATGCAGGCATTGTTGGCTACCGTTGGTGAGCAGTATCACCAGCGAGCCAACCCCAGATTCACTCTGGCGCTGTGATCATGATTTTTGTAGCTTCCTCTCATAGGATTGCTGCTTACAGTCTGGCTCCTGGTCTCTACCTTTCTATAAAGTCTCAATCTCACCTGATCGCTGTGCCTAGAATGGTCCCGAACACAGCAAAATAAGAGGAAGATGAGAAACTACAGGCAGAGGGCAGAGTCTATGCAGATATATACACAGCCACACATTTTTTAGTGGATTATAAGTGATGATTGAGAGAGATATTTTTGTATGTATGTTTTTTTTTCCTGCATAGCACACCTTTACATCAGAATTATTAGTATACTGTATAAAATATGTACAAGGTTATGATGGGCTTGGACATATACATTTATGAATTTGTGCATATTATAAAGTTTGGTCTGCTATATAAAGATACGCAAAGGACAATACTGAAATGTCTTCGATTGTTGGATATCTAGATATATTAAATAAGCCACTTTTGAAACAAAATACTATGAATGAGGCAATTTCAAGTTGTTAAAGAGATGTAAGCAAAGATTTTATAGTATAATTTTAAAAATATATTCTCCAAAAGTTTTTCCTCTTGGCTTCTGGCAAAGAAATTGCATTAGAAATCTCATTCCACATCTGCGGTGCGAAAAAACTTCATCATGGAGTCATCATACCGAATTAAAATCCGGCAAAACAGTTTTTATGTACAAAATCAACAGCGTATCCCTTCCAGTGCCTCATGACTGTTATTTCATCCTATTGAATGCTGGCAGAGTCTAAACGCAGAGGGGAAACTGTGTTGATGTAGCGCGCAGCTACACTGCATACCTCATTGTACTTTCATGACTTTTCCCATGTGGAAATGTTCGCAGTGTTGCTCAGATGTCATACGTGCTGTTAAATGAGTGTGATTGTGATAAATTGGGATGTTAGACGGGAATGACACACAGTCGGGATGGTAATGGTCCTGTGTGTGTGTGGAGCAATCTAAAATGTCTGGAGCGTAAATGCACATATTTAGGTCTGGAAAAATACAGGTATTTATTCAGGTGGGGGAGCATTTGCTCTGGTGCACCCCCCTCGCCCCATTTGGCCATCACTCCCTCACTACTCACTATTATGGTAATCCAGGCTATGATGCGGTCAGTTGATTATGTTAACATGTTGAAAACAGCCAACCTAAATGTTCATGGAAATGATGCTTTATTGACCAGCGTTCACCCTGATGATACTGATAACATGATTTACTGATTCTTTTGATACAGGATATTTAAGAATCAAGTAGTGAATGCTGTTTGTTTAAGCTGTAGGGACTGAGCAGTTGCTGTATGCATGAAGGTGTAGCAGCACCCTGCAGCTGGGAATCAGTGTTCTTACAAGCAGGGGTTTGGTGGCAGTTGTATAAATGATGTCACCGCGTGCAGATGGAGTGGTCTGGCTGTTTGGACGGCTGCAGCCCTGAGCCAGTGACTGTGACAAGACTGCTGTCAATAGTTTAAGCTCAGCCCGGGCCTCATCTGTACATGTGATTTATCGATGTGGCCGTGAGTGTGGATAGGCCTGTTGGTCCGCACACGCTTTTGTGGTCACCAAGGAGGATTTTTTTCCCCCACAGGGCTCCCACTGCTGTAGCAGTTTCTAAAAGTGATTCCCGTCATGCATGTCTTGTGGTTGTTATGACAAATATTATTCATTCATCATCTCCGTCGTCGTTATTCATCCATTGTACTACATGAAGTGGGCTCGTTTAAAGTGCATCCAAAAACTCCCAAGATGCCTCAGCTTTCAACTCTAGCATGAATACGCAGCCACACACACACTCTTTTTTTCCATTCTGACTTTGTAGCCACAGAAACAAGTGGAAACTAAAAATGAAAGAAGTTGGGGAAAACATTTGCTCTGAAATAGCGCAGATGTGAAATGAATAAATGATGCAAATAAAAGATGCAAGAGCAGCGTGGTGATCTCACACCGTAGAATTAAATAGTCCCAGGGTTCTTTTCGGGTTAAAGCATTTTGTAAACCTCTGATAAACCTGGTTGTAAAAACACATATATACTTACACATAATAACATACAGTAATACTTTATTTTAACCCTTTAATATTTATGAGCATAGACTAAACACGGAATGAAATGTTTATAACACATTGTACTGTATAATTGTAAGCCAATATATGGGGTATTTATTGATGCATATGTCAACAATTATAACTCCTCCTGTGAAGATCAATGATTGAATGAACATAACACAATTAATCATATAAATATATATTTATATTTTATGTTAATATGTGAAATATGTAGTTACATATGTTATTTTTGTATTCATCCACAAATTACTTAAAGTATTTATTTATTTAATCATATCATCCATAGCAAAGTATTAATTACTTCTGCACTACTCTTACTGTCAACCACAAATTTGTGCTACCATCATAAGCATCTATCTATCTACAGTACAGGCCAAAAGTTTGGACACACCTTCTCATTCAATGCGTTTTCTTTATTTTCATGACTATTTACATTGTAGATTCTCACTGAAGGCATCAAAACTATGAATGAACACATGTGGAGTTATGTACTTAACAAAAAAAGGTGAAATAACTGTAAACATGTTTTATATTCTAGTTTCTTCAAAATAGCCACCCTTTGCTCTGATTACTGCTTTGCACACTCTTGGCATTCTCTCCATGAGCTTCAAGAGGTAGTCACCTGAAATGGTTTTCCAACAGTCCTGAAGGAGTTCCCAGAGGTGTTTAGCACTTGTTGGCCCCTTTGCCTTCACTCTGCGGTCCAGCTCACCCCAAACCATCTCGATTGGGTTCAGGTCCGGTGACTGTGGAGGCCAGGTCATCTGCCGCAGCACTCCATCACTCTCCTTCTTGGTCAAATAGCCCTTACACCGCCCGGAGGTGTGTTTGGGGTCATTGTCCTGTTGAAAAATAAATGATCGTCCAACTACACGCAAACCGGATGGGATGGCATGTCGCTGCAGGATGCTGTGGTAGCCATGCTGGTTCAGTGTGCCTTCAATTTTGAATAAATCCCCAACAGTGTCACCAGCAAAACACCCCCACACCATCACACCTCCTCCTCCATGCTTCACAGTGGGAACCAGGCATGTGGAATCCATCCGTTCACCTTTTCTGCGTCTCACAAAGACACGGCGGTTGGAACCAAAGATCTCAAATTTGGACTCATCAGACCAAAGCACAGATTTCCACTGGTCTAATGTCCATTCCTTGTGTTTCTTGGCCCAAACAAATCTCTTCTGCTTGTTGCCTCTCCTTAGCAGTGGTTTCCTAGCAGCTATTTGACCATGAAGGCCTGATTGGCGCAGTCTCCTCTTAACAGTTGTTCTAGAGATGGGTCTGCTGCTAGAACTCTGTGTGGCATTCATCTGGTCTCTGATCTGAGCTGCTGTTAACTTGCGATTTCTGAGGCTGGTGACTCGGATGAACTTATCCTCAGAAGCAGAGGTGACTCTTGGTCTTCCTTTCCTGGGTCGGTCCTCATGTGTGCCAGTTTCGTTGTAGCGCTTGATGGTTTTTGCAACTCCACTTGGGGACACATTTAAAGTTTTTGCAATTTTCCGGACTGACTGACCTTCATTTCTTAAAGTAATGATGGCCACTCGTTTTTCTTTAGTTAGCTGATTGGTTCTTGCCATAATATGAATTTTAACAGTTGTCCAATAGGGCTGTCGGCTGTGTATTAACCTGACTTCTGCACAACACAACTGATGGTCCCAACCCCATTGATAAAGCAAGAAATTCCACTAATTAACCCTGATAAGGCACACCTGTGAAGTGGAAACCATTTCAGGTGACTACCTCTTGAAGCTCATGGAGAGAATGCCAAGAGTGTGCAAAGCAGTAATCAGAGCAAAGGATGGCTATTTTGAAGAAACTAGAATATAAAACATGTTTTCAGTTATTTCACCTTTTTTTGTTAAGTACATAACTCCACATGTGTTCATTCATAGTTTTGATGCCTTCAGTGAGAATCTACAATGTAAATAGTCATGAAAATAAAGAAAACGCATTGAATGAGAAGGTGTGTCCAAACTTTTGGCCTGTACTGTATCTATCTATCTATCTATCTATCTATCTATCTATCTGTGAGGGTTTTTGACGTGTGTGACCACATATTTTTATGTTTACGGCTTCATTCACAAGCAGTCACTATGTTTTTCTACACCACTTGCAGATGCTTCACAAGAGAAGTTATACAGCTAACACCCTAGAGGAGGTGTTGTTTTGGTTCGATGTTGTTATATGATAAAGCCCAGAATAACAATATTAGTAATCTGTAACAGTGCAAAACCTGAAGTTCTCTCAGTGTCTGTATCTCTGTGTCCTCTCAGGCCTGTCCCCGGCTCTCTGTCCTCACTGCTGCACCTACGAAACAGACAGAGACAGCCTCTGCCTGCCTCCATGCCTGGAACTCTGCCAGACCCGACCATGCCTGGCTCTTCTGCTGTGCTGATGCCTGTGAGTACAACAACAGCGCACAGAGCACAGTCACTCACGGACGCACTAACACATGCAGTCACTCACTTATATGGGACAGCAGTGTCAGTTCAGACTGCACATAAGCTAGGTATTAGTCTTGGATGTTTTCTATCAGCATTAAAATGATTTGCAACAGTTATAAGGAAGGATTCCACCTCTGTGTTTAGAAGAAAGACTTCATTGTAATTAAGCCAAAAACCTAGAGGACCCACATTGGGAAGCGAGGAATGATAACAACCCAGAAAAACTCCTCCTATCAGGATTCTAATGATACAACATATGTTCTCATTGTAACACAAGACAGCCTGTGTTTATGGTATGGAGAAAAAAACCTCCCATGTTTATTAAATTAAGAGCTAAGCGATTTTGGGGAAGATTGACGGTTCAGGAAAGAGGTGCAGGTTTGGGTGATATTTTTACACAAAACACACTTAGTGCAATTAAGGCTGTGTGTCAGGTTCTAGGCCTGAGTCTCTGTGGACGAGGGGGAGAGCGGGGGTCAGGCAAAAGGGGGGAGGAGAGGGGCCGTTTCTCCATGGAGACCACCACACCACCCAGAGTTCAGCAGCTGGGAGGCCGCAGCAGCTCACACACGTGTGCGTGCGGACACTCACACAAAAGGTTTCTTCTTTCCTGCGTATACTGCTCACATCATCGCCCTGCGCAAGTGACCTCTCACCCTCGTCAGCGTAACCAGCTGATTTCCTCTCATTCAGGTCTCAGCTGTGACACATGACCACGTTGACCAGGGTCACTAAGAGGCAGGCTGTAACCACCACGCACATGAATACAGTTTCTAATGCAATCATACAACTAGCTCACACCTACACACATCTCGTTCACCTTATTAACACAACCTGCACCTAGAGAGACCAGGGGTTTGATGTGTTAGTCAGACTGACACTCACCACACTATTATCAGAAACACACACACCCTTGTTGCACCAGCTTCCTGTGTTAAGTCCCTCTGTGCTGGCTTCCTGTTTTGGGTCAGCTCCAGTTATCATCACACAGAGCTGTGCACAGGGCAGCTTGTCATGTGAAATCAGGCTCTCATGCTGTTTCATCTCACCCCCCTCAGCCTACTGTGAAGGAAGATGAGTCTCATGCTGTAAATGCTAACACGTCTATTGTGTGAACAGTGATAGCATCTTGTTAAGACATAAAAAATAGAATAAATCATCAGACTTTTTTCTTGATTCATCTTGTTAAAAAGTTTTGTGGTACTGGATGTGTCCACACTTGTGAGTAAGACTGTTATCATGGTGTTGCATCTTCAGATGGAGAGACAAATGTCCATGGGCTCCAATATGATGGGTATGCAAGGACCCACCCACAGCAGCTCCTGCTCTTCCACTCACATTCCCTCCATGCACTCAGAAGCCAAACTGGTGAGTATATGCATGTATTCTCATGGATATGTACAATTTTGTGCACACAAGTGCACACACTCAAGCTCAAAGTGTTGCAACTTTCTTTTCCACTGGGCTGTGCCAGCAAAGCTGTGCTCTTAGGTCTGTGTGGATTTCATCATTTGGTGTGTAATCAAAGCTGTGTCTGAACCTGCCAGTGCAGCACTGGAGACTCTGGCTGGAATAAAGGGCCCTTTATGTGGTTGTGGCTGAGCTGCCCACCGACTGCCTGATGTATATCTTAATGTACAGAACATGTTCTGTAGGTCCTGCAACTTGTTAGCACTAGTTTAACACAGCGGGGAAAAAATCAAATGACCTCATCCTTCACAAAGCAGGCAGTTAGAGCTGTGGGAATGAGACGTAGCTGAGAGAGGAGAGAGACAGAACGGAGAATAAGTACAGAAAGACGAAAAAACTGAAGGGAGAGAAACCTTCCACTCAGTTTCGGCTTTGCATGTTAGCACTGCTAACACTGACGCCAGTGACTGACAGTGTACGTCTGATTGATGTCAGTTACACTCTAGGTGATATGAACTGATTAATACTGTAGCAACGTGACCACCAGCCAACCTTTGTTTTCAAAACAAATAACTCTGAAAATGGAAAAGGCTCCATAAAAATAAGAGCAAGTGTCACGACTTGGATATCAAAAACTCACAAGCGGTAATGAAAAGCATTGGCCGCTCTTTGTGTTTGGAAAGGTTTACTGATAGCTGATTTTGCTGGACAGAAACATCTTGTGGAGAAGGAGAGAGAGAGAGAGAGAGAGAGAGAGAGAGAGAGAGAGAGAGAGAGAGGAGGTAGCAGAGGTCATTAGAAGAGTTATTGCTCTGATAGAGGAGAGCGGGAGCATTCCCAGGGCATTTAATTCTCCCTCTTCCTCCTGCTCTCTCAAGATTGATCGTCTTTGTAGTCTTTTGAATCTCCTCAACTGTTCCTATGGTAACACGCTGGGGTAACACAATATTAGTGTATTAGGCTTATCTCTCCCCTGGCCATCATCCAGACACATCTTACTCTTTTTTTCCCTCCTCCTATCTATGTAATTGAATTGTAAATGCTCTGTTAGGCCTCCCATAAACATATGCAGTCACTAAATGGCTACAGGCCCCTCAACCATGCAACTTTCTGGTTAGTTGGCCATTCAGACACGGGGCACGGTAACCAAATGTGGATCAATTGAGATTCTGCTCCCTGATGTCTGAACGCAACTGATGGAATTCCATGATTGTGGACAGAAAGTGAGAGACTAATTATGTTATCAGGGTGCGATCTCCAGCGTGGGTTTCATAAGCATAGACGGGGGTCTCTAATGTCTGTAATATCCGCGCCTGGGCCACGTCGATAAATACGGCCTCGCTATCGGATAACTGGGCCATGATCAGGCCCATGTGTCCCCTGCGACGTTCTCAATCCGGCTCTAATCGCATTACCCCAACTATGTTGACTTTCCGCCAATGGGAAATCTCCGCACTGTAACCCCACACCCCCGAGGCACGGACCTGGATGCACTCTTTCTGCTCGGCGTTTACGTTGCGAGAGCGGAGAAGGGGATTGAGTGGGACTTTGATAGACATGAAGGAAACAGATAGACAGGGAGAGTGAGCAGGGGAGTTGAAAGGCGAGAGACACTATCAATATTCTGCGTGTGAGAAATAGGAGGAATTCTTTGTGAGTGACATGAAAAGACTTCTGCTCGGCCTAGTTTCCTCTGCCCCGCTGCATGTGTGCATGCATGTACGCTCATATGTGTGTGATTGTTTGATATTTTGTGGTAACTGGAGGCCTCTGTAGCAGAATTAACCCTCCCCTGTCAGAGAAAGCATGCCCAGAGCCTGGGCTAATGAAGGCTAATTGATTTTTGTGGTGGGCCAGAGCAGCAGGGAGGCCTGTCTCTGGTGTAAATAGTTAATGAGCCGAAGGACTGCTGTGGCCCCTTGGGGACTCATATCTTGCTCTAAGCTCTCTGTTTGTGCTCTCTCGGCCAAAGACTGTATCTGCATCAGTGCCCATCTTTGTTCTCTTCTATCTCTGATTTTCTCCTTAAGTGCCATCGTTTAAGTGGTACAGCAAAGCCCGACGGTGCACTAACTGACTTGTATGTTTTCCCTTTTTGCTTTTAGCTGGTTGTCTGGGAGTGTTGCTGAGATCAGAGTGTTTTATTAGTTTTGGTTCAAGTGTTTTTTTTTTCTTCTTCTTGCAAAGGACTGGGTGCTCATGGTGCCGGGTGTGGTTGTGTTCTGCTCTGTTGTGGTCTGGGGAATAGAATGGTGCGTGTTGTGCGCTGGAGGTTGTGGGATAGTTGACCCTCGCAGCGTAGAGGAAACGCTGCAGAGAGGAGGCCAAGTTCCACAGCATGCCGGCCAAAGCATTACGTCAACGCTCAGAGCCAGTTCTCCACAGGGCCTCGCGAACGGTCGCACACACACTCACATGCTCGCTGACTGCTCTGTGTCATCCTCCTCGCACGGTGTCACATACTTAGACAGCCACAGACATTCACACACACACAGACAGTCAGGTACTTCAAAAACAACAGCAAATGACACACGCACATGCACAGAGCACATGCATATGCGTGGAGATGCACACACACAGTACCGTATAAACACACGTGCATATGTGCGCTGTATTTTCCTATGCATACTCCCTGTCCTCCTCAGATGGTTTGATATCTTTGTTTGCATGATGAAAGACGTTCATTATCACTCCTCATCTGTAACAAGGGGAGCCCAAACAGCCCTTATCAAGCTGTTTCCAAATAACATCTGCAAGTGCAGACTATGGGACTTGTCTCAGCTCATGTCACTGGTGGAATTGAGCATTGTTTTTGTGTCCCTTTTAAATGAGCTCCATGCTTTCCACACATCCTTCCTGCCTGCTAATTTCAGACAGAGGGGCCTTGAAGCAGTTTGGTGCAGTTGTATGAAAATGTGTTATTTATTATCTCCCAATTATCTATTGTTTACATTGTTACTAAGGACAATAAATTTGTCACTAAGCATCGGGCTAGGTGCTGAGTTTTTTATGAGGTAAACAATACTATATGTTCCTTCACTGCAGCTCTCTTGGCTGTGGAGCTGGCACTGGATGGGTGGATGACATAATTCCTGGCATGCTCTAAATGTACTCCTTTTTACTTGAGGAGGGGAAAAAAACAGTGCGTCTCTTAAAGAAACATTTCATAGGACACAGGAGGACCAATAATCAAAGTGTTTCTAGCACGCTAATGTAGCTTTTTACATTTCATTTACACAACCCTCACTGTTCTTATGTTTCAGTGTGGTTACAGAATTTTAACAGGCATCTGGGTTAATGGGCTTAAAGTTCAAGTTTTGCCCTGTGCAGAGAACAAGTGAAAAATGAGAAAGTTACATACATATTCTGTTGAGAAATTTCAAGAAAAGGAAACTTGTGAAGCAGTTTTCAAGTCTGCTATGCTGTGATTGATTGAGCGATTAGCTCAGTCTGAAGTCATTTGTAAGCAGTTAAAACTATTAGCGTACATGGTAACCCTATTACATGTTCCATTCATTTCCCTCCACCATAGTAGGGGAGCACCTCTGGCTAAACCTCTTGTTGTGAGGAGGAGCAGCACACACAATAGGAGTCTGACTCCAGGTTTTGTAAGCAACATCTGTATGAATGGTGGCATTGTCAGGGTATGATGTCATTGGAGAGGGACGGTGAGCTAAGAGCACAGCTGAATCTGCACGCTGCTTCACTGAGTTCTTGAATATGTGCATCTGCACTCTATATGTTTGTGTGCATGCTCACGATGGTTTGCTTTCAGAGAGTTGGCACCCTCTCTGGCTATCACTGTCCTTGGAGTCAAAACACATCTGTGGACGACGTGGGCTAAAACAAACCGTAAAGTTAGAGTTTGTGGATTTGATACAGATCTGTTATGTACATATGTGTGGTTAGTTAAGTAAACGTGAGGATGTGTGGTAAACTGAAGTCAATCAAGGACACAAGACACATGGCAAGATATGCTGAGACAGAGTTGCAGTGTAGGGAGAGCAGCCAATGTCAGAGTGTTGGATGCAAAGAACGTTTTGTGGATGATAAACACATGATGTTTCTCTCTATTGCTATGGAGGCGAGTGGTTTAGTGGAGTGCGGTGCTGAGGAGCTGCTGGATCAATGCGTGTCTGCCAGTTTATCAGTGTTGGACACAGACCAGAGAGAGGCCCCTCTCTCACCGGCTCCACTGTGTTGTCAGTGCCAAAGTGTCTGAACCACATACACACTGTATGCTGTGATAGTAAATCAAGGTAAATGGACATGCTGTCATTCATTTGAGAAGCTTTGTTAGCACCAACAGGATTGCTGTCATAAGAAACAATGTGTTCACTCACCATTTATACACACTGCCTCCCCAAGTTAAAGGAATATTTCACCCACAAAATGGTCACTTCTATATCAATTAAAAAAGAAACCTGTTATGTTGGATTCATGAAGAAAACTTTGTTTTTCTGGCATGCCTCCACAATGAACAAAGATTCCAAAAACTGAGAAAATTCTTGATTAATTAAAGTCAGAGTATATTACATTTAACAATCGCAAAACTATATCAAAACATCTGTCTACAAACTCTCACACAACTCGTGCAGTATAATCCAAGTCTCATTTATCCAGTTGTATGCTCAGTACTTCCCAAACACATGTATTTTCTCTAAAAGCTTACCATGTAAACACTTCCATATTCGACTAACGCCCCTGGGCAAGCATGAGCGTTTGAATTCTCCTTGAGCACAGTTCAAATGCCCAGGTGTGCTACTCATTTGTATGTGAGACTATTTATGCAGAAGTGTTTCAAATAATAATGTTTTAGTGAAAATGCATGTGTTTGGGAAGTACTGAGCATACGACTGGATAATTGACACTTGGGTTTTACTGCACGAGTTGTGTGAGAATTTTAAATGGATGTTTTGGTACAGTTTCGCTGTAATTAAACACAGATGCCTTACTTA